ACATTGATAACCCAAAACATTTGATTTTATGGGATTATTTTTTTAGGTATAGGCTTCATTTAGGATACTAAAATAATTTGTGTGAGAGCAGTGCCGGACTGCAGGATAAATGTAAAATGAACATTGAGTTATTTATCGTGTGTTTGTTTTGGAGCACATTAACTTCAGCATATGGAGCTCCTGTGTGACATTATCAGTTCTGCAGCTCGTCTGAAGGACACTGTGCTGGGATACAGTACTGACCTTCTTAACTGCAACCTAGGAAAATAGATGTTTCTAGCCTGATTACACACCAGCAATTCATGTGGGCTTTCTAGGTGCTCTTGAGCATGCCATTAAGAGATTACATCACACCTCCTGACATGACATCACAAGAACACCAGAAGAACATGATGACTCATAGTGTCACTACTGTTTGTTCATGTAAAACTTGACTAAGTCTGGTGTATAAAGAGAGAAGTGGCCCTGCTCTCATGCTCCCCCTGCTGGCCTGAGGGTGTCATTAAACAAGGTGATGATCCTTTTGGGAATTCAAGAGTAGAGTTTATTGCCATCTGCATAAGTGCAATGAGATGCTTATTTGCATGTGTGCTCCAATGCAAATACGTCAGGGAATTACCAAAAACAAAAACACAGAACAGTGGCAACAACAACAAGTTAAATAACATACATACAAAAAAAACACCATTGTGAGCCAGTGGTATGGGTAGAGTTCAGTAATCTGACAGCTTGAGGGAAGAAGCTGAGTCTAGGCGTTCGTGCCTTTATGCTCCTAAAGAGCCACATGGAACATGTTGCCAATCTCTGGCACCATGTTGGATCAAACTTGATTTGAAAGTTGGAGCAACATGATCAAACGTCCAAACACGAAAAGTAAAAAAGAGAATGGCAACTGGCAAGTTCCCTGTTATTGAAAGAAAAGCAACTCACGGATCCGTATCTGTCTTTGGACACAACTGATCCTGCGGCCGTCCGATGATGAAATACTTCTGCCCCTCTCTCAGGCCCAGAGTGTCTCTGCAGGCCACGTGAGAGAGGAACATTCTTTGAACTGGCAGACTGAACAGCTCATCTCCTGTGAAAAGACATGCCCTTTCTCTTTAAGGATAGCAGTGGCCTTCCTGTCTGAGTGGAACAGGCTGAAGAGTGACCCATCTGTGAAGAGGACCTGATGCCATTGCTGACGAGTCCATCGCAGCCTCTGTCTGGCCCAAGCCAGTCGGGTGTGATGTCTAGGAGGTGTGAGCAGAGGGCCTCTGACAGGTCGCCTTGCTCTGAGGCCAGCAGCATGGAGCCTCACTGTCCTGTCACTGATGCGGGCATTGTGTCTGCCGGCAGTTTCTGCAGCAG